TTGTCCATGCTGTGCAGAGCCGTAGTCAGTCTCTGCCTCTCATATGAATAGATGCAATCTCAGCAACCAGACACAATAAATACAAGATGAAGGGAATGGCAAGCATTGCAACAACACACAGAATTAATTCCAGAGGCTAGGAATCACACCATGAAAATTATTTCATTATTTTCACTTGTTAATTATTCATGCAGCAGAGATACAGGAAATGGTAGGGGAAAGCTAATAAAAGAGCAAGAGGCTGCAAAACACTGATGAGGAGGATTGGAACCAAATAAAAGAAAAGTTATGAAAAACAGAGAACGCGTAAAGAAAGGAGCTTGGGGTAAGTTCCACATTCAATAGCAGGCCCAACATAAGGCATTCCTTCTGTCTCCCCACTGCTCATTACTCCTGGTCTAGCACTGTGACATACTGCTTCCTCATTACTAACAGGCATCGATCATTTGTGAAGCTACACTATGAATCAGCAAGGGCTGAAAAATAACCTGATCAAAAAAAAGAAGTTGACACAACCAAAGGGAAAATGCAGAAACGAGCAGCTCCGAGGGAAAAATAGGTCACGCCAACACTTCTCAATGCAGAAAGGTGTGACCGTGGGATTGAAGACCAACCAATGCCTATGTCCAGACCGTAAAAACACACCCATGTTTTCTAATGCTATATGCAGCAGGAAACGTAGCTGGATCTCACACCTGGTGTAATGGACAAACATCAGCAATGTTAGCAAAAGCTGTCCAAGGCATTTGGTTGCTGCTGGGAAGCACATTTCTCAGAGGAAACATGGACCTCTCACTGAAGAGCCGCCCAGGGCCAGGCACCTCCAGCTGCTCTTTCTGCCTTTCTTTCCAGCTGTGTCCTCTTTAAATCAAACTTAGGATCCCACATGCATGACCTGCAGTCTATTATTCAGATGCATGTAGCATGCAGAGACACAGAGCACAATGCTACGCTGCTTAAATGCATGAAATTAAGATGCAATAATGAGCTGGTTATTAGAGAGCAGACAGTAAGTTACGAATGACCTGGTGAACAACAATACCCAACACTTCAGGTAACAGCTTACTGCCTACATTTCTGACATTCCATTGGAATCTTTTACTACTTGCCCCTTTCCCTCTTAATGGAATTTCATCCTTACATCTCTTTTGTTCCAATCCTTATGGGCAGAAAGGCAAAAACTGGATCATTACTTCTATTCAGACTCCACTAACAACCTCCACTGATGTGATTTTTGGAGGCACTGAAGCCAGCATGGAACCAGTAACACGGCAGAAGGATAAAAAGGAGGCAAGAATGACAGGCTAGGCCAAAGTTTTCTCTTACTCACTTATGACATGTTTCTGAGACTGCTTTTTATGCCATGCAAACATGTGCTGACCTCTCAATTCAAGTTTTTTTGTTGGTTCGCTTTTTGTGTGCATGTGGAGTGCAATGCTGGGCATGTCATCAAAAAGTGCTCACAGCTGTGTTTCTAAAGTGGTTTTCATTATAAACCCTCATTCATTAAAGAACAAAAATCAGACAAACATTTCACGCTAAATAAGCACTGCCACGGTTTTTAGCAACTTTTTAACTAATATTAATAACAGAAGTTAAAAATGACATGAGGCAAAAAATCCAAAATTACCGTCTGAAAGCTCACCTTTAATTTTAAAAACATCCTTTTGTAACAGTGGGAACAAACACCCCTGGGGCAGGATCCAAGGTACTACTTAACATCCACCTGACCTTGCAGTGAACCCCAATTTAATCTCACCAGTGTGAAATACCTCATCATTTCAATAATCACCAATTCAGGTGCCCTTAAAACCAGCTTATGACACCAGCATTTAAAACTTTGGAAAAAAAAAAAAAAGGCTGTATAAAACCACACAAAAGCAGTTCTTCATTTGACTGGACTGGAACAGCAATTATCACAAATAACCTCCAGGTAATAGATGCCACTTTTACTCTTTTCATTATTAGTACTTTGAACTTAGAGAAAAGAGGAGTACAATGAAATAATTCATTCACAAAAGAAAACTGCTAAGTGAAATAAGTTTTTTTTCCTACATTTACTTGGGACAGAAACGGGTTTAAATTGCCACAAGGAAGATCTAAACTCAGTATTACGAAAGACCTCTTAAATGACAGAACAGTTAAGCACTGTTAACAACAGTTAAATTGTCTGGTAAAATTGCATAATTCCTATTATTTGAGGCTTTTATGGATACGGTTTCAAAAGCCTCATGGTACCATCCTTTTTCTTTAAATCAGTTGTGACGATCATGACTAAGCCTATGGTATTCCTGGAGATGGCAGGTCACCACCCAGCCTTTCTGACCAGGCTGCCTGTTCCTTCGGTGAACTGAATCAGGATCACCTGACAAGCATCAGAGATGGTATATAAAGGAAGCAGTAATAATATGTGCCCAATGTCAGGACTTTAACCTTCAGCAGTAATGAGCTATGTCAGCTCACCACATCTCGTAAGACTCTATCTTAAAAAACATTAGACAAACATCTACTAATAATACTCTGAGTACAATTCATCTTTCCTGGAGCTGACGAGAGTAGACCACAACTCCTGAGGTCATCTGCAGCAGTGCTTTATCCACACTATAAAAAAACAAAACAAAACAACAACCCAACATGCACAGCCCTATTGGAACCCACTCTGTGAAACTTAAAATATTAAATCGAACTTAAATTAAATGAGATAAATATTTGCAGGCTTCACATTGCCATGATTAAAATCTACACCTAACATAATACGCATTTGTCTTACCACCGTTTCCCATATGAATGCTTCCTTGTCAAAAAGCTAAGCCTATAATGTCTTAAGCCTATGCAATTTCACATTTTAAGGAAGAATTCACTTCTCAAGACCTGACTTTTTGAGAAAAACCTAACAAATGCATATTAAACCATAAGATAATGGTCTGGTTGCACACACTGGTTTTCTGTGTAACCTACTGTAGGGAGCCTCCTCTAGCAGGGGAGTTAGACCAGATCATCACCAGAGGTCGTTTCCAACCCATACGATTCTATCTCTTAAGCACGCTAGTACACATCTTCACTTGTACTCCTATTGCTCAAGTCCAGCCCAAACAGAAGAATGAAAGCAACAGACCAGATTCACACTTCTTGAAACAAAATGGAACTGGAATACCAGGAGTCTTCCAGGAGACTTGCAAGGTGAAGTTCAGAAGTTATACAGAACCATTAACCCTCTGGCCCATCATTTATGCCTGCCTTCAACAATAGCAGGTTTGAGAGAGATTCATATCCTATTATCTGTAAACGAGTCCAAAGTGGGAGAAAAGGGTAGTCCAAAGACAACAAAAAATAGTTGTTCTATAATCAGCCAGATAGTATTTGCAGAGAGTTCCTCCCTTAAATACCCTAGCTCCCTTTTATGTACGCATAGACTTATTTACCTGACTTACCCAAAGAAAATACTACTTGGTCAAGCATACGCTTGGTTTTCACTTTTTGACATGTTACACAACCACCCCTCCATGTAACTCACCCAATTATACCTGCAGCACATTGGTCAAGAAGAAAGGAATACATCAAGAAGCTCAAAAGATGGGGAAAAAATACACCTAAATGCCACTATCCCATTTGATTTGTTAGGCTTGCACATAATTGATCCCTCACATGCACTGGAGGCTAAACAGAAAAGGAACAAATACAATGTGTCATTTTGACCACTTTGCCCATTCCGACTTCCAGAAGACCACAATTCTTCTAACAAGAGACCCTTCTCTCACTAGCACAGGACACGTGCTTGTCGGACCTTCAGGAGGATTTGCGCAGATAGGAAACTCACCACCATCGAATAAAACTCTGGTGAAGGACTGCAAACGGAAAATATTCTAACCCAGTTGCCACGTGTGGAAAATTGATTTGTCATAAAAGCAGTTTTCATCAGTTAAGTATTACACTCATACTTGGTGGAGGGATGGTCAACGAATGTTTATCTTCATCTCCTTACTAATAAGGTGTTACTATATATTCAAATTCCTGATAATTAATATGATACTTGCTCATTCTTCCTTCCCAAACGCTCACACCCCTGATGCTAACACAAAGAGCTTCACTGCTGCCCAAGGAGGAACAATGTCAAGCCCAACAGCTCTCTATGCTCTACTTATGCATGTGTAGCACAGTAAGTCACGAAAGAGGATGATACCTAAACGAAACACCAAAAAACGTGAAGAGAAAGAAATGACCATTACAAGCACGAAGAGCAAAGACTGCATCTTCTGTAAGGACATTGTGCAGAGTCCCAGAAGAGACCTTCCAAGAAACCCTTAGGAGCCAAAAGCAGCCTTACACCAACACACACGCTTTCCTCTGCAATTCCACACGTTCTCCAGAGGCTTATACCAGAACGTAACCCTGTTACCGTTTGCTGGGAGGCCACAGCCACACCAGCACACATCCCAAAAATTCAGGACAGTGCCCTCAAGGAAAGCCTCCCTGTTGTCCCTACATGCACGTTTCTGTAACGTTCCCATCACGATCGGATGAAACAAGATACCACGGAGTTCATCTTGCGACTGATGTAATGTGGGCAGGGAACAACACCATGGCAATGCGAAGCCATGGAGCTTTGTCTCCTTCGAGACGGATTGCCAAGTCCTCATAGTTGGATGGAGGCACAGCTCAGCATCCCAAACAGAACGCCGCAGTGCACGTTCGTTATTTCAGTAAAGTCACTTCAGCTTTTGGCCGCACCATCGGAAACTCGGCCCGTCTTTGAAGGGCCCGAGCCGGACGCTAGGAAGCAGCCCCAGCTTAGGAGCCGAAGGCGAAGCAGACGACCGACCGCCGCCGGGGATAACCCCGGCAGGTCACCGCCCGCACCGCAGCCGACGCCGCGAGGCCGGCTCGGCGGGCAAACGCAAAATGTCGCATTCTCCGCCGGCGGGGCCGCGAGCAGCCCGGGCCCCATGGGAGCCCATCCCGCCCGCAGCCCCCGGCCCTCCGTCCCGGCACCCAGCACCTACCTGCGAGAGCTGCCGGGGGTTTGGGCAGCCGAAGAGTGCGGAGCTGGAGCTGAAGCTGATGGCCCCTCGGCGGCTGAGGACGTGCTGCGGCACCGGCCTGTCGAGGGGCAGCACCGGCAGCTGGCAGCATACTTCCATTGAATACCCAAACCCACGCCAACCCGCCGCGGTAGGTGCTGGGTGCCGGGACGGAGGGCCGGGGGCT